TTATTATTTTATAAATTCTATTATCATATAAAATTAATTAACTAAAAATAAATTTAGTGTTATGTTATATTATTATTTATCTAAAAATAGATAACTACATTAATAAAAAAATAAAGAAAAAATATCATTTAATATATTATTATTTTTATTAGTTTTTAAGTATTTATCAAAAAATCATTATTTGACATAAAAATAATTTACTGATTTTTAAAATATTTATTAATTTTATAGAATTTTAAATAATTTAAAATTCTTATTACATTTAATGGTGCTTTCTTTCTAATTATAATTTACCTCACTTCTACCTCTTGTTTGCATGAAAATACATGTTTTAACAATTGATTTTAATCTCATTGATGCAGTACTTAATCTAATTGTTGTTTTTAATCTCACAAAAGTTAGTTTTATCACCCATTCAAGTGAATCCTAAATTGTTCCAATTACTCTAGAGATATCAATTTTATTAAAACTTGATAAAAATTTGATTTTTAATTTGAATGAAAATAAAATATTATTAAATTTAAGAGATCAAGACGAAGATGTGTATGATTTTAAATCTTTACTTATAAAATTTCATTTAATTCATTTAAGTCTTTCCTATTCAGTGTTGACTGACTCTTGCATATCCTCTAACCTATAATTTAATTAGCACCATGAACACGTTAGAATTGAGGGGCCAAAATGAAAGGCCAAAAGATTTGGATAAGACTCCATATCAAATAAGAGATCAGCTTGAACCATATTAAATGAATAAAAATTTATCTATATATATATATATTACAATTGCTATTTTATAAATTGACTTGACTATTGATTTATGGTTTATAGGATTGGTATCTTCATTTAATAATTGAATTATTATATATATGATAGAGTTTTTAATAATTTATTAATTTTTATAAATATATTATTATAAAATACATGTCAATTTTTTAATTTTGTTTATAAAATTTTAAAAATATATATTAGATAATTTTTAATTCATTAATTTGTCAATGTAGTTAATTTTTTAATTATGACCAAATGATAAATAATAATCTTATAAAACTCATTTATCGAGTTTAAAATTTTGAATGATGTATCATATAATTTTCATTTAAAAAATTATCATTAAAATTTTATAACCCATACTTTTGATTGAAATAAAGCACAAACTAAATTAGAATATTCTTTTTATTAAAAAAAAAACCAATAATCAATTTTTAAGAGGGAATTTAAAATTTAACTCACATAATTTAAATATCAATATTGACAATTTTTTTATATTGCAATTTTTTATAAAAAAATCCAATGAAATTAATTTACTTGAAGTTGCATTTTTCCACTTGATGTGGATGTCTCATAGAAAGTGAAATGGCCTTGTATTTTGCATAAATTGATTTAAAATAATATATAATTGGATCCACTATAAAATTTATGTGATAAACCCAATAAAAAAGTTCAAACATGATGGACCGAAATTTAGAATCATTTCAAAATTATTTTAACATAAATTCAATTTTTTTGGACAAAATCAGCATCTACAAGTATTTTCAAACGAAAAATACTTATATGAAGTTAAGGTGAAGTTTTTAAAGTTTTTTTGTTGAAAATAATTTAAAAAAGCCAAAATTAAAAATTAAAACCTATAAATTAAAATATTTTATTTCATATATTGAGTGTGCAAAATTGAAAGTAATTTGAAAAAATTTTGATTTATTTTTTAGATAGACGTTTTTACCACTGAATAAGTATTGATTAAAATTAAATTATAAACTATTATTTTAAAAATTTTATTATTATATAAAAATTAATTAACTAAAAAAATAAGTATTTATTATATTATTATTTTAACTAAAAATAGATAACTGCATCATTAATAAAAAATTAAAGAAAAAAATCATCTGATATATTATTATTTTATTAGTTTTTAATTATTCATCAAAAAATTATTATTCGACATAAAAGTAATTTACTGATTTTTAAATTTTTTATTAATTTTATATATATCAAATAATTTAAAATTCTTATTACATTTAATGGTGATTACTTTTCTAATTATAATTTACCTCACTTTTACCGCTTGTTTGCATAGAAATACATTTTTTGACAATTGATTTTAATCTCTTTGATACAATACTTAATATAATTGCTGTTTTTAATCTCACAAAAGTTTATTTTATCACCCATTCAAGTGAATCCTAAATTGTTTCATTACACTAGAAATGTCAATTTTATCCAAATTTGATAAAAATTTGATTTTTTATTTGAATAAAATTTAAAAATTATTAAATTTAGGCGATGAAGACGAAGATGTGTATGATTTTAAAACTTTACTTACAAAATTTCATTTAATTCATTTAAGTCTTTTCTATTTAGTGTTGATTGACTCTTGCGTATCCTTCCACCTATAATTAATTAACACCATGAACACTTTAGAAATGAAAGGTCAAAATGAGAGGCCAAAAGAATTGGATAAAACTCCATATTGAATAAAAGATAGGCTTGAACCAAATTAAATGAATAAAAATTTATATAATTATATATTTAAGAATTGTTATTTATAAATTAATTTGACTGTTGGTTTATGGTCTATAGGGTTGACATCTTCATTTAATAATTAACTTATTATATATATATGTAGATGATAGAGTTTTTTAAAAATTTATTAATTTTTTAAAATATATTATTTTAAAACATGTCAAATTTTTAATTTTGTTTATAAAATTTAAAAAATTTATATTAGATAATTTTTAATTCATTAATTTGTCTATGTACTTAATTTTTTTAATTATGACCTAATGATATGTATTAATCTTATAAACTCATTTATCGAGTTTAAAATTTTCAATGATGTATCATATAATTTTCATTTAAAAAAATTTTCATGAAAATTTTATAACCCATACATTTTATTAAAATAAGCATGAATTAAATTAGAATATTCTTTTATTACAAAAAATAGAAAAATACCAATAAACAATATTTATGAGAGAATTTAAAATTTAATTCACTTAATTTAAATATCAGTATTTAAAATTTTTTTATGTTGCAATTTCTTTATAACAAAAATCCAACGAAATTAATTTAAAGGTAAAAGACCCAGTGGTACTGAAGTTGCATTTTTGGCAATTGATATGAATGTTTCATAGAATGTGAAATGGTCTAAAATGGAAAGCTAGAGTTGACAACACCACTCAAACTTTGCTCCGTTCTTTGTGGGTTGGAGACAGCCATTGCAATTGGGTTGGAATTACCCGCAATAAGGCTACAAGCATCACCAATCTAAGCCTTCTAAATTATGGGTCCACACACAAAATAATTAAATAAAAATATTTATTAAATATAAAAAAATTATTAAATAAAAAAAGAAAAAAATAAAAAGAGATGAACGCCATGTGGCACCTTAAAGAAAGGCCATACATTATAAAAATTCATTGTTTAGATACTTATTTAAGTTAATCATTTAAAAGTTATTCAAAACTTAAAAATATATAGTATTGGTTAATTTAGAATTTTTTGAAAATTTTTTATGCTTTTAAAGGACAATTTTATAAAATTGATCAATAATTATTTATATGTTCATTTAAATAGTTTAAATTAATCATTTAAAATTGTAGTGATTTGACAATATTTGTCTTACAAACACACATGTAAGAACATAACAAGTAGTGAAAATTAAACATAGAAAATTGAATCCAAAATCGAATCTATTTGTTGTGAACATCATAATTGGTATGCATATGATTTTTAAACATGAGTTTGGTTCATACCTTAAAGGTATATGTTGTCAAAAATCTAAGAACTTACGACATGTTTGGTTTGTAAAATGAAATGGAGGAATGAAATTTGTATTTTGTAAGAAAAAAATATAAAAAGGAATAGAATATGATATGTGTTATGAAGTTTGATTATTATAATAGAACAAAGGAGGAATTAGTATAAATATATTTGATTAGTTCAAAGAATATGATAGAATAAGTTCAAAGAATATGATTAGTTCAAAGGGTATGTTTTTATGTAAATCCTTGTAAAATTTTAACTCTTCTAGATAATATTAAATCTATAAAATGACTTAAATTTTGAACTCTTTAAATTTTAAAATTTAAACTTGAAATAATCTAATTTAACCATTAATTTTTATTGACTTACAAATTTATAAGTCAAATTTAATTTTTTTTAGATAGATATTTTTACCGTTAAATAAATATTAATCAAAATTGAATTATAAATTATATATATATTTACATTTTTATAAATGATATCCTTTGACCTATAACTTATTGTGCACCATGAAAACGTTAAAAACGAGAAGCCAAAAGATTTGGACAAGATTCAATATTGAATAAAAGATCAACTTGAACCAAATTAAATGAATAAAAATTTATACATTTAAAATTATTATCTTATATATTGACTTCACTGTTAATTTATAGTCTACACAACTATCACATCTTCATTTAATAATTTAATTATTATTTAATATAAATTGATAATAAAAATTTTAAATTTTACAAATTGAATTAAATGATTTGTATGCATATATTTGTATAATAATTAATCAATTCATTAATTTTTACAGGTATATTCTTAAAAAACATATGTCAATTTTTTTAATTTTATTTATAAAATTAAAAATTTTTATATAAAATATTTAGTTCATTAATTTCTTTACATACTTAATTTTTTATTTATGATCTAATTGTTTGTAGTAATCTTATAAACTCATTTATAGAATTTAAAATTTGATTGATGTATAAGATATAATTTTCATTTAAAATAATTACCATAATTTTTTTTTAACATTTGATTAATCATAAGTGCAAACTAAAGTTAAAACTGTCCTTTAAATGTAGAAGACTAATAGTCATCATCCAACAAAATTAATTTAAACGTAAAAGACCCATCAGTCATAAAATTATATTTTTCCACTTGATGTTGATGTTTCGTAGTGACTAAAATGCTCTTGTATTTTGCATAAATACCTGACCATGCTAGCCAATGTAATTTAGAGCAATTAACTAAAGATCCTTTTTGAACTATCCAAATCATGTCTTCTTTCTTAATACCATTCAAAGTCATGTTCTTCCTCATACTTGTCCTGCTTCACTCTTCCCCTGTTTTTGCTTCTTCATCCTCCATTGCTGCACTTACAAGAGGTAAAGAAGCGGAAGCTCTTCTAAAATGGAAAGCTAGCCTTGACAACAACACCCAAACTTTGCTCTCTTCTTTGTGGGTTGGAGACAGCTATTGCAGTTGGGTTGGAATTACCTGCGACAAGGCTGAAAGCATCACCAATCTAAGCCTTCCAGATTATGGGTTGAAAGGTACACTTCATAGTCTTAACTTTCTTTTCTTCCCTAACCTGATGAGGCTTAACCTTCGTAACAACTCACTGTATGGGCCCATTCCCTCAGACATTGGGAACCTTTCCAAGCTCACCTTCCTTGACTTGTCATACAATAACTTTTCGGGGAATATTCCACCCGAAATTTGCTTATTGAAAGGTCTTGAGTTGATTTCCTTAGCAAGCAATGAGATCGGTGGTTCCATTCCATTAGAGATGGGGGGCCTGAGTTCAGTTTCCGAGATCTATTTCTTTGATAACTATCTGCGTGGTTCTATCCCCGCTTCCATAGGAAACTTGACCAGCTTATCCATTCTCCACCTTCATCAAAATATGTTTTTTGGATTGATACCTCAAGAGATAGGGATGCTTAAATCTCTCACTGACTTTGAGTTGGCCCAAAACAATTTCTTTGGTTCAATCCCTGCTTCTATAGGAAACTTGACCAACTTATCCATTCTTTACCTTCATCAAAATATGTTTTTTGGGTCGATACCTAAAGAGATTGGGATGCTTAAATCTCTCACTAAATTTTTGTTGAATCAAAATAATTTCTCTGGTTCAATCCCTGCTTCCATAGGAAACATGTCGAAACTTATGAAGATACATCTTCACTATAATCATTTATCAGGGCCAGTTCCTTCAACGCTCGGTAATCTTACTCATTTACAATCATTAAAATTATCAGATAACCATCTCAGTGGTCCATTACCCAAAAATTTATGCAAGGGTGGACAACTCGTAAATCTTTCGGTTATCAACAACAATTTGACGGGTCATATGCCACCAACTTTGAAAAACTGCAAAAGTTTATACAGAGTTAGGCTTGAAGGAAACAACTTTACAGGAAATATATCAGAAGCTTTTGCTGTGTATCCGAATTTGAATTATATTTCATTAAGCAACAATAGATTTTATGGTGAACTTTCTCCAAAATGGGGGCAATGTCATAATCTAACAAGCCTACAAATCTCCAATAACAACATTTCTGGAAAGATCCCACTAGAGTTGCAACATGCAACTCAGTTACAGGAACTTGATCTCTCATCAAATCATCTTGTCGGTGAGATTCCCAAGGAATTAGGAGCGTTGACATTGATGTTCCGTCTTCTGGTAAGTGGTAACCAACTTTCCGGTAAAATTCCACCAGAGATTGGAGTTCTTTCAAATCTACAGCATCTTAACTTGGCATCAAACAATTTAAGTGGTTCAATTCCTTATCAATTTGGAGAGTGCTCAAAGTTATTGAATTTGAATTTGAGCAAAAATAAACTTGGAGAAACCATTCCATTTTCAATAAGCTTCATATATGGTCTTCAGATTCTAGATTTGAGTCAAAATTTGATTATTGGAGCGATACCACAACAGCTTGGGCAATTACACACCTTGGAAATATTGGATTTTTCTCACAATATGCTCAATGGTTCCATTCCAATTTCTTTCAATGATTTGCGAAGCTTGACTGTTGTGAATATCTCTTATAATCAATTAGAAGGCCCTATTTCCAATATTAAGGCATTTCAAGAGGCTTCATTTGATGCCTTAAGAAACAATAAAGGACTATGTGGTAATGCCACTGGATTAATGCCTTGTGTTCCTATCACTAGCAACATAAAGGGTCACAGAAAAAGAACCAGACTCATCATGTTGATTGTGATTCCACTGTTTGGTATTCTGCTTTTGCTATTTATCATGGCTGGAAGTTTCCTTATTCTTTGCCAAAAGAAGCGAACCAGAAAATCTGATGAGTCAAGGGAGGCACAACATGGAGATATTTTCACAGCATGGGGATCTAATGGAAGAATACTTTATGAGAACATTATTGAAGCCCTTGAAAATTTCAACTCCAATTGTTGCATTGGTTCAGGAGGATATGGAACTGTTTACAAAGCTGTGTTACAAACTGGTCAGGTGGTTGCTGTGAAGAAACTTCACCAATCCAAAGATAGTATACTTATCAACATCTTGAAAGCCTTTGAAAGCGAGATTCGTGCTTTATCAGAAATAAGGCATCGTAACATTGTGAAGCTGTATGGATTTTGTTCACATCCAAGGCACTCTTTTTTGGTTTATGAGTTTGTTGAAAGGGGAAGTTTGAGAATGGTCTTAAGAAACAATGAAAAAGCAGAGGAGTTGGATTGGAAGAAGAGGCTAAATGTTGTTAAAGGATTGGCCAATGCTTTGTCTTACATGCATCACGACCACTCACCACCCATAATTCATCGAGACATTTCCAGCAATAACGTTCTCTTGGATTTGGATTATGAGGCTCATGTCTCAGACTTTGGCACAGCTAGGCTTTTAAAGCCTGACTCCTCAAATTGGACCACATTTGCAGGCACTTTTGGATACATTGCTCCAGGTATCATTTATTTACTACTATATGTTAATTTTGAAATACTGGCAAGTGGTTTAATTCTTCATTTGAAGTAAGTTTTTGTAATATAATATATATCAATATATAAAAGTCTTAATAAAAAAAATTTAATACTTCTTAATTTCTAGTATTAATATTTTCTTTTTATCAAAGACTAATATTTCTGAATCCCACTGTTTAACTTACTTGGTTTAAATAACTATTTTTAAGTGGTAGTATTAGTATCTACAATCCTTTATCCTATCTTTAGGCTGCAGCTTCTTTTGTTAAAAAAAAAATAATATTTCTGTTTGAAACTTTTTTAAAAGTCATTAATTTTGGTTAAAATTGAAAAATAATGCAAGCTATGATAGGGTTTTTTTTTTTTTTTACCATTCTCTCTTTCTTTTTTCTAATCGTAAAACTTTAGATATTGGATACTAATAATATGTGAATATTATAATATTCTAAGCTTTATACTTCTTAATTATTTCTAGCTTGTTATTCATGCCTAAATAAATTATATATATATTTTTATGTAGAGTTGGCTTATACAATGAAAGTAGATGAGAGATGTGACATTTATAGTTTTGGGGTGCTAACAATGGAAATACTTATGGGGAGGCATCCTGGTGATTTGATTTCATGTTTGTCATCATCAACATCAACATCAGTGCCAAATGATAACCAACAGATTTTACTTAAAGATGTGATAGACCAACGTCTCCCACCACCGGTAAGGCAAGTTGCAAAGGATGTTGTCTCTACTACAAGGCTAGCATTTGCATGCTTGAATGGCAATCCCCGACTTCGGCCAACCATGGAACAGGTTGCTCAAGCCCTTAGCCATCAATCACTTCCATTGCCCAATCCTTTCTCAATCATAAAATTGGGAGAAGTATGGGATCATGGAGTCTGCAGTGCTTAATAATAAGGTACTAACAATTTGAATAATAATTCTGGGCACGTGTATTTGCTTTCAATCTATTTCTTTTTTTTCTGCTTTGTATTGAAAATGTTTAAGCACTCTAATGATAAAGCTTTTGTAAAGAATCAGCTGTGATATAGAACAACTTTGTTTAAGCACTCAATTTGTATGTTCAGGATTTCCTATTTCTGAAAATATCAGTGCTGACGTAGAATTTCAACTTTCAGTATCAATTGTAATATTCTACTGTAGTATCGATTTACTACAGTATTTTCGCTTTGGAATGTTATAGCAATTTTAATCACTTTTTTATTTGTTTGAACAAATAAAGAATACAATTGATGAGTACACCAAATTAAAATAAACACAATTTCACATAATAACCTTTTGATTTTACTGTTTACTTGGCATTTATTCTTATATACACTTATACACATTATTTCTCACAATTTCATATTTCTAACATTCAATCACTACCTTTTAAATCATTCAAAGTTTAATTGTAATTGTATTGAGTACACTTAAAACGGATTTGAGTGATAATTTTAAAGTATATACCTTCAATTTGTTTTTTATTTTTAGTAAAATGTTAAAAAATGTTGTACTTTTCTCAAATTTCTCAAATAAACTTTTATCTTTTTTTATCCAATTAAAAGTATAAAATATTATTTTTATTTAATTAAGTCTTATTTTACATGAAAACAATTAAAATTCATTATTTTCACCACATCAACAGTAATAATTATTTTTGCTAAATCAATGTTTGTATTACAAAATATAAATATTTAAGTTGAATTATCGTTTACATAATATGAATTGCTCAAATAACAGGCCAAATTAGTTCAAATATATGCTATGTAAATGTTGGCATCATAGAAAGAACCACGACATATATGTTGATTTCACAAGAAATAATTTTTTTTTACAACTTTCATCTAAAAAAAAGAGCTAATTGAACAAAATTATACTTTAAAGATTTAATTAGAGAAAAATAATTTTTTAAGGACTTAATTGGATATAATAGAAAGTTGGAGGCTTATATGAATAATTCAAGGGCTTATCATCACAAAATATTTTTCATTTTTAATATTTAATTAAAGCTGGGTTTTGATTGTAATTAAATTTTATCCAAATTTCAATAACAACAATAATAATAATAATAATAATAATAATAATAATAATATAGCCAATAAAATACAAAACATTTTTTCCCAAATTAAAATTATAGTTGAATTTGGTCCAACGTGTTTTCAAATTAAATATCAATGAATTTTCATAACATTTTCTCCCTTTTCTTTTTATAATATGGTGAAGAGTACTCTTATTTTATTTATTTGGAGAAACGAAAGGCTTTGAACAAAATTAATTGTAAAAAAATTGGTTAATTTCACCTATAATTTTTATTGCAATGCTGTAATTAGCCAATTAAAAAAAATTGTGTAAGAATCTACCACTTAAAAGTATGGGTTTTAAATAATTTTTTTATGAACTGTACACAATACAAAAAAATTATACATATTTTCGCATTACTATGGTAATTTTTAGTTTTACAAATTATTTTTAAAGTTGTTATATCCAGTTAATATTTGGATTATTATTTTATACAAAAACACAAGTAGTGGGTTTTTAAAAACTCATTATATCTATTTAAATAATTAATCAAATTGTTAACTTTTTTATAAATATATCTAATAAGACAAGTGTTAATTTTTTAAAAAACTTTGTTAATCAATATAATCGCAGGTAATCTATCAACCTTAAAGTGATATTCTAGTTTCAAAACTTAATCCTTGAAATCATGACCATTAAACCGCTTAATTAAAGTAAAAGGAGTGGCCAATGCCTTGTCTTATATGCATCATGACCATTCACCACCTATAATTCATCGAGACATTTCTAGCAACAATGTTCTTCTGGATTTGCACTATGAGGTTCATGTCTCAGATTTTGGCACTGCCAGGCTTTTAAAGCCCGACTCTTCTAATTAGACCTCACTTGCTGGTACTTTTGGATACATAGCTCCAGGTATTTATTAATATCTCTTTTTTTGAGATGCTCTAAACATGTCGTCATTCAATTAAAAGTGTAGTTTTGTGTGCAAATTGATGCGTTAAAACAAAGTTCGAGTAGTATTAAGATTGTAACTTTTCAAATTTAAATACCAAAGAATTTTTCTCTAATTCACGTATCAAATGTGTAATTAATCTTTGACGTTTAACAATTAAAATTATAACTTTTCAAATTTAAGTATCAAAGAATTAGTCTAATTCAAGTATCAAATGTATATTTAATCTTTGAAGTTTAACACTTAATTTTTCAATATTCAATATATCAAGCTGATGAATTAAATATAAAATCTTATTTAAACATCTGAATTTCAATTTTCATGTAATCTTCTAAACATTCCCAATTTCTTTTCAACATTATTTTATAATCTTCTCAATATTCTTACATAATAATGTATTGATTAGATATATTTATTGCTCAATAGAGCACACTGATTAAATATATTTCTTTAAGCAGAGTTGGCTTATACAATGAAAGTAGACGAGAGATGTGATGTTTATAGTTTTGGGGTGCTAACAATGGAAATACTTATGGGGAGGTATCCTAGTGATTTGATTTTATGTTTGCCATCATTGTCATCGACACCGGCATCAACATCGATATCGCTACCAAATGATAGGGAATTGATTTTACTTAAAGATGTGATAGATCAACGCCTCTCACCACCGGTAAGGCAAGTTGCAAAAGATGTTGTCTCTACTACAAAGCTAGCGTTTGCATGCTTGAATGGCAGTCCCCAACTTCGACCAACCATGCGACAAGTTGCTCAAGCCCTTACTCGTCAATCGCTTCCATTGCCCAATCCTTTCTCAATCATAAAATTGGGAGAATTGTGGGATCATGAAGTCTGCAGTGACTAATATTAAGGTGCTAACAATTTGAATAATAATTCTAAACACGTGTATTTGCTTTCAATCTATTTCTTTTTCTCTTCTTTGTCTTGAAATGTTTAAGCACTCTAGTAATAATGCTTTTGTAGTGAATCGGCTGTGATATAGAATAGCCGTGTTTAAGCACTCGATTTGTATGTTCAAGATTTCCTATTTTTGCAATGTAACTAATGGCTTGACTCAGAATTTCGACTTGTAGTATCAATTGTAATATTCTACTATAGCACCGATTTGCTACAGTATTTTCGCTTTGGAATGCTACAGCAATTCTAATATCACTTTTTTATTTGTTTGAACAAACAAAGAATACAATTGGTGAGTATACCAAATACAATAAACACAACTTCACATAATAACCTTTTGATTTTATTATTTTCTCACCATTTATTCTTATACATAGTCATACATATTATTTTTTACAATTTCATCTTTTTAACCTTTCATCATTCACTACCTTTTAAATCATTCAAAATTTAACTGTAATTATATTGAGTACACTTGAAATAGATTTGAGTGATGATTTTATTTTTACTAAATTGCTAAAAATGTTGTACTTTTCTCAAATTTCTTAGATAAACTTTTATCTATTTTTTATCCAATTGGAAGCATAAAACATTATTCTTATTTAATTAATTCTTATTTTACATGAAAACCACTAAAATTCATTATTTTTACGACGTCAACAATAATAATTGTCTTTGTTAAATAAATTTTGCATTGCAAAAATAAAAATTTAAGTTGAGTTGTCGTTTACATAGTATGTAACAAATGGCTCATAGGCCACATTAGCATCTAAAGAGAGCTTTTTTATTTTCAAATATATGCTATGTAGATGTTGGCATCATAAAAGAAATACAGCATTTATGTTGATTTGACAAAAAATAATATTATTTTTTGCAATTTTCATCTAAGAAAAAGAGCTTAATGAAACAAAATTATACTTAGATTTAATTAGACAAAAATAAATTTTTTAAGGACTTAATTGGATATAATAGAAGGATGGAGGCTTATATGAAAAATTCATGTGATTGACCAGTCATTGATGACATTGAATTTCAAACCTGCTAATTAATCTTCTGTTCAAATTTTGAAAAAAATTAAAATTTGGTGATATAATAAGATAGTCTTTTACTCATGAAGAAAAGGAGAAGACTTGAGGTTTTAAGTTCCAAGAAACAATGTACCGTTCGTTTGGAGGAGTTCTTGGTTTTAGCAATTACTTCCATTAATTCTTCTATATGACAAATGTAGAAATGTGAAACCAATTTGCTTTTGATTCTAAATAAATAAATATATTTACCTTCACTACTTTATATTCACAGCTTACATATATAGCTGTGTGTGCAAGCCAAAGGTAATTTTGTGCAACAAAGCTTTTTCGATCAATCTAATAATGGTATCATCTTTTCTATGTCCCAACTTTTCTTCTCATCCTTGCATTGCTTCAATCTACACTAGTCTTTGCCTTGGTAATTGGTATCCTTTCAAACTACTTTAGCTACTGCTCCATCCATTGAAACAAAAACCCTTCTGAAATGGAAAGCTAGACTTGACTAGGGGTGAGCAATTGTTCAGTTGGTCGATTCAATTCAGTTTTAAAAAACTTAGAAAACCCAAAATCAACTTAACCGAGCCAAGTTATACAAAGCTAACATCATAAGTAAGCTCTAGAATTCAACATCTTTGTCCAATCGAATTTACAACAACTAGAATAGTTCAACATCCAACACTCTTACTGTCAACTACTTCCTAAGAAAGCAGTAACAAGTACATCCGAATCATACAAAGATGAAACGAAAGTTATATTCAGGAAACTGGTCCTAAGCAGTCACCTTCCAAACTTACCAATGCCTGAAATTCCCTCTCTGCTTCCATCCACTTTGTTCCTATCACAATAAATCGGATGACAACATCCTACTCAATCTTCGATCATTCATGAAGATAGCATTCTCTCCAGGCACATAATGGTAGTTGGGCATTTATAGGTGAGACAGATAGATGTTCTGGATTGGTCTACACTTCAAGAAAACTCCATGTTTTAGTACCTTGTGTACAACCCCTTCCAAAATCTCTCCTCTGAACATCTTGAAGGTGATTCCATGAAGACAGCAGGGAAAAGCACATCCTCTGTGTTCTGTCTAACAATGCCCTCCCCAATGCTCTCCAGAGTTGTTACAGCCATGAAATAT